ATTCAGAGCGAAATAACGTTACTTTCTCACTTTGTGAAGATTACAGATTCAGATTATGCAGGCAGTGCTGACATTACTAAATCAAGCCCCTAAAAGTATGCCAAAAAATCGGCAAAAAGCCTGCTTCACAAGTCAAGTAAAGAAACAATTAAGTGACAACCTCCTTAAATGCCTTCTATTACTTGACATGGAACTAACTTTGTTTTATCGATCATATTACTTACCTTCTTTATAATTGTTTTTATCTGCTGAAAAACGAAGCCCTTCGAGTAAGTAAGGAACTTATCTCTGTTGCACAAGTCTTCAAATCCACAATCATTCAATTCACACAGACCGTTAGCGTTTTCAGACCTCTGGTAGCTGTACGAGACGCAATTCGGTTCATCGTGACAAGCTTGAAGACAGTTGAACCAGTCTGTGCCGTGAAACTGTTTGAAAACATGACCGACGTTTGATACGCGGTTATTTTCTGTGACTAGATGTAATTTTCGTAATGGTGGACATGTTAAAAATACCAGGAAAACGTTAAGATAAATAAGGTTTTTTAAGAACAGCATGATTCCAAACATGAAGAGAAGACGGGGTTCTGCCCTCACGAATGAAGCGATTGAACTCTGGACAAAGTTGCAGTTTGCTTTGATGTTCGTTAAACACGAGAATGATTGACAAATCGGGCGCGAATATTTTCTGCAATTTCATCAATGTCTTCACCTGCCATTATTCAACCTCTGACTTGTTTATCGATGAGCTTCATTTGACAAAGAACTTAATTATTTTGATGAATATAGTTCTCAGCATAACACGTAACTCACACAACAACTAAGCTTTAATATTTCTTGTCTTAATTAAATCATTCCTTTTAATGTGACCTATTTTCGAGAAATGCCTCAGAAAACTATTGATGTATTTTGATAATTACTAGTGCAAAGTTTTCAAAACTGACGATTGTTTAACAATAGCTTCTAACGGGTTAAAGGCTACGTTTTGTCACCGTGTACGGTTTTTATTAAAACGATCTATATATTGCATATCGCTTTTTGATAAAACTTATTTCATGGTATATCATTCTCAATGAGTATATTGGTTAGGTATTTGAATTTTTTTCTTCTTCATTAAATTTCTTTTGACTTACAGATTGATTTCTGACGCGAGGGTGTTGTACAGCGGAAATTACCCAGTTTATTGGTAGACCTTAGTAAACATTAATCCTTTAACTCCAAAGATCTGATTGTTAATTCTCCTCTCTGGCTGCTACACATTTCTTTGTAAATTAGTTATGATAATTTAGTGTTACATCAAGATAACAACTTCTACCTGATTGATGTTAGTTTTCTTAGAACCTGTTTGCTGGATAATGTATGGATATTGTAAGGAGAAATTCCATGTTAATCACTTCTGAGAGTTAAAGGTTTAAAGCGATTAATTATTAACCAGACATCTGTGTGTCCTAAACTATAAACCAGGAACTGATTACGTGAGGTACCCAACACAATGACCCGAAAAGGCCTAACACAATTGTAAGAATACAACGCAGAAATACTCTTTATAAACCAGAAATTGCCTAAAAAGTACAAAACGTGAACTTTAATATCTCAAGTTTATTAAAACATTACCACTTTAAAGTTCTATAGCTTAAATTGAGACATCAGTCTCCTTTAATTTAATGTTTGTGATACGAAATTAAATGTAAACTCAGCAATCGATGCTTTATCTAAGAAACTTTTGGCTGTAGGGTTTATATATGAAATCATCTTTTAAATATCTCCAAAGGTACACTGATTCTGGAATTGAAACTAAGTGTTACTTAACATATCCAGTTTCACCCTAACAGGTTTACTGGCCGGTCCGTACCCTTTGCTAGTTGACGCCGACACTGTTATTGTGTATTCTGGATCCGTCTCTAAGTTTGTCAACAAGAGTAACCGCTTTGCTTTGTCTACTTTTTCACTCATTGTTCTCGCTCCCGGCTTTGATCGGGTATAATTCACCCTGTAACTTATGATTGTCCCATCTCGTTTACCATTTGGTACTCTATCCCAACTGACCAATATGCTTGTTGAGTTCTTTCTCTCAGCTGATAAATTTTGGGGTGCTGCTTTGGGTCCTTAAATGTATAGAAACAGAGGCATCAGAATGTAACGCAATTGATCAGTTCAGAAAGTAAGCAGGTGAGCAGGCAAGCGGTAAGTAATGGCTATGTAGGTAGATTGGTACATTGGCTGGTAGTACTTAAGTATTATCGTCATTCGCTCTGAAGAGGAGCTAGCGCTCGAAACACCAGCTTTGAAACTCTATACGGTGGCCAATTTACGTTATCAACTTAGTTGATAATACTAAATTACTATGTTTTACTCTCCCACAGACGCAGCACCACAGTTTCTTTAGGAACTTGCCTCCTTTATTCATTGGTGAGTAGGTAGGTTGGTTTGTGAGCGTGAAAGTCGATTTTAAGTACTTATTTTGATAGGTAGGGCCAGCCGTTAGATACGAAGGTTGGTGGGTAGATATGCGGATGATTAGATGGAGGAGTGGGTATATAAGTGGGTAGGGGTGGGGATGGGAAGGAAGCAGAGAGGGGCGGTTGGTGGGTAGGCGAATAGCACCATAGGTAGGTAAGCAGGGAGGCAGGTGAGTCGGTAGGAACATGGAGAGGTAGATAGGTTGGTAGGTAGCTAAGTTGCGACAGGATGGCAAGTTAACGAGCAGATAGGAAAGTAGGTAGGCAAAGGAATGTTTAGGTAGGTAGATAGGTAGGAAAGTCGGTAGTTAGGTTCAACTTCTGATTATGTGATGGAACGCAGCTCTTCAGTCAGAGCTATCCTCCTCCTTGCAACGCTTGTTCCGAAAGTACATTTACAGAAAGCAGAGAAAAGAAGGGGTAAACATTGAGATAGGAAGGACGGTATGCAGGTAGCTTGGGGGTAGGTATGCAGTTAGATAGCGAACAGCAACAGAGATTGATACAATGAAAAACAGTACGTCAAAACTTACTGTCTTCGTCTGTTATTACTGAAAGCATCGGGCTGGAAGGACCATCCCCACATTGATTGAATGCTAACACTGTTATGTTGTACTTTCTGTGTATTTTTAACCCTGTAAGGTTGATATAAACCGTGGAAGCTGTAACCTCACTCCCATGAATGTCATTCTTACTGGACTTTAAGGAGTAAATCACTTTATATTTTGGGATCAGTTCGAGATTCTGATTGGTTGGTACAACATCCCACGTGATGAAAAGACTGGTTATCGTCTTGTTCACCTCTTTAACATTTTGAGGCGGAATCGTGGGAACTGAAATGGAGACATAGTTCTATTAGCATTATAATTTCTAATGTCTAAAGTAAATTACTATCAAATAAAAAAATTGATCTTCGCAGCTGAGCTGGATATTAAAAAAATCTTTTAGAAAAGAAGCCTGCAAAAATACAGGTTTCAACGGAATTCAAACCTGCACCTCTCAGATTCTAGTTGGATGCTAAAATTTGTCTCGCTTCATTTGTGTGGCTTTGGTATTTAGTTGATAGTAGCGGCCCGACTATCCTACAAACTTACCACGTAATCTTCCAACTTTGCAAGTGGTTTATTTGGCCGACAACCGATAGAAAGTGCGATTTATTGCTTTCATAAAAATGGGAAAAATTTTAATTTTCTATGAGTTATATATATCGGGCGATATACTTTGACCAATCAGGGCGCCCGTAAGCTATTTCATAATTGACGGTGTTTTAACTCAATCTTCCCTTTATGCGCTGCGGTCATATTACGGACAAGGTAATGAGGGTGTCAGTCTTAAAAAAGCGTTTGTTTCGGATTCGTAATAGGTCTGGAAAATTAAGCTGGTTTAATCAGATCAAACATAAAGTTAAACTAGTTTTGAACGGTAATTAACCAACAACTCACTATCTTTCAAGTCTTCAATTATGTAAATTGCATGGCGAGTTTTTAAGAGAATTAAATTGGTCACCTGAGTCATTCAGCGCGCAGATGTTTTCCTTCTGTGAAGCGGCACACTTGTTAGTCTGCGGGATATAGGTTTTTGATTAAAAGAACATCGAAAATTAGACATAGGTGAGATAAAGCTTTTCAAATAAACGTTTTGTACAAAACTATGTTTTAATAACCAATGTTTAATTTCAAGCCGATAATTATGCAAATAACTTTTTGAGTAATCTCCAATGTAGGCAGCTCCTCTTCAAATGATTTAGCTTAGCGTCTGACTGAGATATCAGTAATGGTAATTTTAAAAAAATATCCAGATGGTTGACAAGAATATGTTCGCTAAAAAGTCTTTGATTATCAGCTTTGTAAAAAAACTTCTTCAGAGAATAACGTCTGGTTTTTCTATACACAAAATTGGATAAGAATATTTAGAGCTTAACGCAAAG